AAGAATTTATGAGCAAACCCAAGAATGGGAAAAAGCAATTCGGGTTACAAATTGCTTGAAGAAAAAGAAACTACCTATCGCTTATCAAAAACTCACTGCTCATTATTATTGTGAAATAGCTGATCAAGAAATGTCAAAGGGAAACGTGCATAAGGTGGAGGAGTATATTCATTTAGCTAAAAAAAGTTTTAATGATTCTGCGCGTGTTACGGTGCTACAAGCTGATTTATTTGAAAGAAGAAAGCAACATAAGAAAGCCTTTCAAATGTATTTAAAAGCATTCAAGCAAGATTCGCGCTTACTGGCGCACTTGTTTGACAAAATAACGAAGGTCGCTGCAATAACGGGTCAGAGTCAGGAGTTGAAAACTGTTTTGCTTGATCTCTATAGAGATGATGAAAGTGTTTTGGCTTATATTCTGGAGTTAATGTCACATAGTTCTGATAAGGAAATTCCTGTTGATTTTCTAGTGGATGATTTATCAAAGAAAAAGTTAGATATCTACTCGATTAGTAAATCCATTGATGTGTTGAAAAACACTCAAAATTTATGTGCGGAGCATGAGAAATTACCCCTTGTGAAGCAGGCGCTAGATAACTATTTGCATGGGAAGGCTGGCTTCCAATGCCAAAATTGCGGCTATAAGATGCAAAATTATCTGTGGCGTTGCCCTGCGTGTTATCAGTGGGATGTTATCTCCCGATCCTAAGTGTCGTATAAATATGGAAATTAAAATGTCGAGTAAATTAATAGTCGCGCTGGATTTTTCCTCAGCAGATCAGGCGCTGGAGTTTGTGAATCCTTTATCTCCACCTGATTGCAAATTAAAGGTGGGCTTTGAGCTTTTTGTCAGTGCAGGTCCTGATTTAGTGCGTACACTGACAGGCAAAGGGTTTGATATTTTCTTAGATTTGAAATTTCATGATATCCCTAATACTGTTGCATCGGTGTGTAAAGAGGCTGCTAAGCTTGATGTGTGGATGATGAATGTACATGCTTCGGGTGGTTTGGAGATGATGTATGCCGCGCATGCTGCGTTAAGTGAGTTGGCATGTCCTCCTAAATTAATAGCAGTTTCAGTGCTAACCTCAATGAACGATGAGCAACTCCAAGAAACAGGGGTTGATCGTTTAGCCAAAGATCAGGTGTTTCATCTTGCTGGTTTGGCTAAACAGGCGGGGTTAGACGGTATGGTGTGTTCTGCTCAAGAAGCCAAGGCATTACGACAACAGTTCGGGGATGAGTTCCTGCTGGTCACGCCAGGGATTCGGCCAGTAGGAGCCGAGAGAGGAGATCAGTCGAGGGTTATGACACCACGCGATGCGATTCAAGAAGGGGTGGACTATATCGTTGTTGGGCGTCCAATTACGCAGTCAAGTACACCACTAGAGATTATCCGTCAGATTAATGCTGATCTAGTACATCAACCAGTATAAAAAGTCTTCATAATAATTTAAAATAGATTGATAGGAACTCAACCTAAAGTAAATTATAAGGAAATAGGCTTATGGGAAAGCGTAAATATATAGTTCGGCTAAATCGTCAAGAACGAATCGATCTACAGCAAATCATCAAAAAAGGCAGAGTCGCCGCTATCAAAAGACAACGCGCACAAATTCTTCTTTATGCTGACCAAGGGGAAGATGGCTCATCCATGATGAATACCAACATTGCCAAGTTACTGGACATCAGCATTAAGACAGTAGAACGAGCTTGTAAACGACTTATTGAGGTGGGTCTGCCCACCTGTCTGGAGCGCGTACCCCGGCAGTCAATGCCCCGAAAAATGGATGGTGAAAAAGAAGCACAACTGGTCGCCATAAGCTGTATGGATTCACCCGAGGGAACAAAGCGATGGACTTTAAAACTCTTGGCATCACGGTTCGTTGAGTTGGGTCATGTCGATAGTGTGAGCCCAGAAACGATACGACAAGTTTTAAAAAAACGCCATAAAACCTTGGCAACGTAAAGAATGGTGTATTCCAGCCAAAGAGAGTGCAAGTTTTGTCTGTGCGATGGAAGATATTCTGACGCTTTACAAGCAAGCATATGATGAACAATACCCTGTGGTTTGCATGGATGAAAGTAGTAAGCAACACCTGATAGAAACGCGTGCTCCGCTGCCGATGAAACCTGGCAAACCAGAACGTTATGATACTGAATATGAACGAAATGGCACCAGCAATCTGTTTCTGTTTTTTGAACCACTGAAAGGGTGGAGGCGTATTGATGTGACTGCACGGCGCACCTCACAAGACTGGGC